TGTATGCAAATATTAAAAAATCTACCCCTAATCTTAAATGTTTCTAGTCACAAGCATTTTGGATAAGGAATACTCAATTTTAGTAAGACCTGGACTTTGTAGAGCTTATTTGAAGTATCTTGCTTGACGTCTCCTACATTTTCTCTCGTGCTGTCACAATTTTTTGGTGTTTGATGCATGATTTTTGAATATTTGCAAAGCATGGCCACATAGCCCGGAAAAACCTACAACAACCCATAATAGAAATTATTTATTTTAATTAATACAACTTTTAAACAAGTAAATTTGAATAATAGAGCATCACTAGGTTGCTTTAGAATGAAATGATAAAGAAAAGGATAGACAATTTGATAATGGAACACCAACCTATTTGTTTTCAGTTCTCTCAAAAACAGGTAAGGGCGATCACTTAGTTTATATTTTGACATTTTTCTTTTTGACATTTGAGACTATACATTTGCTTTAAAAATGCAATATTAGTTGTTGGGATTTCAAGAAGACACCCTATCTGTCATGCAAAAATGTGCAATGATCATTCACAGGACGATTTTTTAAATACTTCCATGATAATTTTGTTTCAGAGTATATGTATCAGTATGAATAAAAAAACTCAGAAATTCCAGGGTAAATGCAATGATATATTACATTTCATGTTCAATTAATGAGTAAATATTTTTATTTTTGAGTATGCAACTTTGGGCAAAAAATGCATGCTCACACATAAACAAAATAAATAAAAATTGTGCTATTTCATATGACTTTTTGCATGTATAGTATCAGAAAGGAAGAAATGAAGAACCCAGCCAAACAGCCCACAGTTCTTTCTTTTTTTACTTGCTTATTCAGTGTCTTCTTATAAGTCATGCCTGGATAATCAGCCAGGGCGGAATGTTATATAAGGCTTGTGTTACTGTTAGGTGAAGGATTAATCCGATAAGTAGCTATAGTAAATTAAGACTAGATCCTATCTACTTACATTCTAGTTGTTAATATAAACCACACGTCTGTCTACAAGGTGGATCATGTGGTTAAAAAATGTAATATATGAAACTTAATCAGGATAATCCTACCATCAGGAATGATTTCTTTTAAAATAAAAATAAAAACCATTGGAAACCAGAACTCAAGCTCTTATACTGGTTCACTTAAGGGACACTATGATCAGAAGAATACAGGGCAGCCAAGATTCTGCAGTAATTGTTCTGATTAGCTCAAGAGACAAAATACTGACTGACAGTAGCAAAAAAAAAAAAAAAAGAAAGAAAGAAAGAAAAGAAAAGAAAAGAAAGAAAGCATCTTGTATTAGTCTGCAAATAAGTTTTTTTTTAAAAAAATATTTTGATAAGTGGAATAGTGCCCGTTGTCAAGTATTATTATTAGTATCAGTGTTTTAATCTTCGCTCTATGTATTTTAATATATATTTAATGATATTGTATTTTAACTATGTTGTACCCTGCCTTGCGCCACAAGGAAAGTCGGGTAACTAATACTAATACTAATACTACTACTACTACTACTACTAATAATAATAATAATAATTTATTTCTGCTGCCGCCTGCCCTTTCAGCAGGGGAAGAAGTGGGATCCAAGATACCTTCCAGTAATTTAAAAGAAGATTAAGTTAAAATCATAATTTTCCATAATTAAAAATAATTTAATAACAGTAATGTATTAAATTACTGGATGTATTGAATTGCCTTGGTAGCATAGTGGGCTAAACTGCTGAGCTGCTGATCTTGCTGATCGAAAGGTTGGCAGTTCAAATCTGAGAAAGGGGGGAGCTCCCACTGTTAGCCCCAGCTTCTGCCAATCTAGCAGTTTGAAAGCATGCAAATGGGCGTAGATCACTAGGTACCCCTCTGGTAGAAAAGTAATGGCACTCCATGCAGTAATGCCAGCCACATGACCTAGGAGGTAACTATGGACAATACCAGCTCTTTGGCTTAGAAATGGAGATGAGCACCACCCCCCAGAGTCGGACACAACTAGACTTAATGTCAGGGGAAACCTTTACCTTTTTATGGTATTTAAACCATGATAAAATATGAATGTAAAACATGTTACTAATATCAGATAAGAAATACAGCACATTCACACTAGTATTTTGGCATCAGCAGTGGTTAGTTGTAGCCCTGGAGACAGTGCTTTCCATAAACGGGCAGTCCCTTAGTCATAAACACCCAACTTGCAAATGACTCATAGTTAAGAATGGCGGTGAGACAACAGGAAGTGAGAGAGGTCTACCCCTGAGAAGTGAAATCCACTCCTGGAGAGTTCTCATGGGGGAAAGGTGTCTCTTCTGAAGCTTTATCACCAATCCTTTTTTCTGCAACAAGGCAATTTTTTCAAAATGTACCTGTTCAGATTTATGAACAAATTCAATTTAAGAACAAAACTACAGAAACTATCTTGTTTTTAATTTGGGGGCTGCCTGTACTGTAGTTTTCTAAGGGTTTGCCATAAGAGAGAAATTTCTTTTACAAACATATCCCTAAAACCCAGTAACTCTGTAATGCATCTTGTACATCCTTGACCTTGGAGAAGGAAAAAAGAGGAAGCTTATTGTTTTTTATCTAGGAAAATATGAGTGTTTATATAGTTCAAGCAAAATAAAAGGTTTTTTTTCTGATCTAGATTATATTACATTGATGTCCATAGCTCTGTGGTTGTTGTATTTTTACACAGATCAGTTAGTAACCGAGTAAAGAAAAATATACATTTTGGAAAATATGAGTGAAAGAATAAGAATTTGTAGAGACCATAAAGTAGAGTACCAAAATATTGTAAACTACTGTAACTGCCACTTATATTATCAAAGAAAATATACATTTAAATGAGTTTCCTTTTTGTCCTTTCTCATGTAGTCACTCTCAGTAGGTGACAAGACAGTTGTCTTTTAATTTCCTATAATACTGTTGCTCGTGTCTGTGACTATGTCTGCACCACTTCTTATTTTTTGAATCATTTAAAGTTCTCCCATATGGCTGGAACGGTGCCCATTAGAAAACTGCAGTGAAGGAGAAGATAACAGGGCTCTGTTGCCACAGTTTTGTTTTGTTGTTGTTGAGAAAATCCCTAACAGAAACACTTGAAGATCGTTGTACATTTCAGGGGATGTTGGTGACAGCACTGTTTAAGTTGATTTTAAGATACATTACAGCTAAATGCTCTGTACTTGGTAGGTGGTAATATATACAATAGTCATGATATATGAGTTTGATCAAGAATAAGGATAAAATGAGAAAATTCACTGTCTTCCTCCTGCCTGGCAAATCCAGTTCTCTATGAACCTTCTCCCAAGATTTAGGGGCTTATTTTGAATGGAGTGAGTGTGGCATGGCAGGTCAAAGAGAAAGGGAAAATAACTGAAAATCAAGAGGCACCTTCCCTGAGCCCTGCCCCCATCGAATATGTGGCATAATGTAAAATAAACCATGTGTAGTTCACATTTGATCAGCCCACACCCTGCCTTGCCAGAGAAAGAAAATATGCTACGCAGGTAAACAGTAAAGAACAAGTCGTTTACTCTTCGTAGTTCAGAACAACATATGTACAATGTGATCATATAATGTCTTTTTATGAGAGATTTAAAAATTGTAATTTTTTTGTCTATGTGGATAAACTCCTTCAGCAACTCAATAAACGGGAGCACATTTCAAATGGTCTCTCTGTGCTTATTTATTTTATTTATTTATGTCATACATTTCTATCCTGCCCTTCTCCCCACAAGAGGACTCAGAGCGGCATCACATAGGCATCAACGATGCTTACAACATATACATCAAAGAATACAATAAAACAGTAAAACAGTAAAATCATCTTAAAACATCAAACACATCAGCCAATACATTCATTTATTAAAATGCCAGTAAAACAAAGATCAAACCGGGAAATACAGTGTCACAACCCAAAATCCTTTCCTGTTGTCATTATCATCTAATCAAACACCTGACTGCAGAGCCAGGTCTTCAGTTGTTTTCTAAAGGACAAGAGGGAGGTGGCCAACCTGGTGTCCTTAGGGAGGGAATTCCACAGACGGGGGGGGGGGGGGGGGCACTGCCGAGAAGGCCCTGTCTTCGTGATGGTTCATAGCAGAAGATACATTCGGAGAAGTAATCTGGGCCAGAAGCGTTCAGGGCTTTAAAGGTTAAAACCAGGACTTTGAATTGTGCCTGGAAGCCAATCAGAAGCCAGTGAAGCTGACGCAATAGAGGAGTAGTATGCTCCCTGTACGCCACTCCAGTTAACAACATGGCTGCCGACCGTTGGACTAATTGAAGCTTCTGAGAAGCTTTCAAAGGCAGTCCCACGTAGAGAGCGTTGCAGTAGTCTATTCTGGATGTAACCAGAGCGTGGACCACCATGGCCAAGTCAGACTTCCCAAGGAACAGGCGCAGCTGGCACACAAGTTTTAACTGTGCAAAAGCTCTCCCGGCCACCACTGAGACCTGGGGTTCCAGGCTCAGCAGTGAGTCCAGGATCACTCCCAGACTGCAAACCTGTGTCTTCAGGTGGAATGTAACCCCGTCTAACATAGGCTGTAACCCTATCCCGTTAGGCCTTTCGACTGACCAGGAGTACCACTGTCTTGTCTGGATTAAGTTTCAATCTGTTCGCTCTCTCTTCAAACTCACTCTCTCTGCACATGTGTAGCTTGAGCCTGAATAAAAATGTAACAGTATCCAAAAGCTCCAGACTCAACCTGCTCACCGGGCATTTCCCAACCAATCAGCTTCATGCATCTTATTTTACAGTTGGCATATACACATTAACTGATTCCCTGCATGCTCCAACAAAATACACTTCAGTATCACTATCCAAGTTGGTCCTTGGTAGAAACTTTCAGGAGGGGAAAAGGATTGATGAAAGTTGTTTTTTCCTTAATTTATCCTGACAGCATTTCTATGGATCCACCCCATAATAGATGCATAGTTTTTACAGTAATAGTTGTTTATGGTTATCCTGTCATTTATGGTGCATACCTTTTATATTATTCTAGGATGCTGTTGCTGCATTGCTCCATGTCCTACTTCCTTCTCCTGCTACCCTTAAGCTCCTGGACACAGAAACTGCCCACTAGAGATGAGGAACTTTTTCAGATGCAGATCCAGGACAAAACCTTTTTCCATCATTCATCCGTACTCCCAGATGGAGCTGAAATCAGCAGCTATCTATTCAGAGAAACACCCAAAAGGTATGTGAAAAAAATCAAGGAAAAAAGCTGGACAGTTATACAGATTTTGGCTCCTGTGTACCTGGAACGCTCCCAGGTCAAAACTATGGCACTCTGATTTCACTTTATCTGCCATGGCTGCACTGAATGGAATTGGGTTTGTCATTTCATGATGCCCTAGAGCTCTCTGGCTTGCGTTTATACACCTTTCTTGTCTCCAGTTAGAAATTCAATATTTCCCTAAATGAGACTAACCTACTGATAGCTTCTGTTTCTCTGTGTCATGGTTTTGTGAACATGTACTATTTTTATTCCCCCCCCCCCATATTTTATGCTTGACAACATGCATTCATATCAAAATCAATAGATTTGTTAGGAGTTACAAATCATAGAAAGCCTATAGGGTGTAGTTTGTTGTAGGTCCTGTGGAGATTGAGCGACAACATATGACAGGGAGTGCAGAGACTGGGTTAACATTTCCCATCCTGGGGAAAGAGTCTTCATTCATTTATAGTTCAAGCTTTTACGTATCTGCTCAGAAGGCAGTTTAACTGAGTTTAGTGGGTTAATCCTAGATAAGTGTGTGTAAGATTGCACCCTTAAGTGCGTCATCTTGGGAAAAATGCAGGATGTACATTCAATCAATCAGTTTGGATTCAGGTATGGAGAGTAACTTCTACCCTAAAATCAACTTTCCTGTTTCCTGTGTACATTTCAAAAATGAAAGAGGCAAAACTCTATAATATTCTTTAAACCAGAAAACAACTTGAAGAGGGGGAAATCCCTCCTTATCTTACTTCACTGCAATGAACCTCTGTCATATCAACATTTCAATGAATGCCCATTGAAAGATATAGGGCCCATGTAGATAGGCCATATACCTTGAAGTGGGCAAGATTCAACTCTATGGTGTTCATATGATGTAAGGGGGCATTTCAGCTACCCCCCAGACCCCCAATGTAGTTTTGTCCAACATTACAGAAAGTCAGGGAATGCTCCACAGTTTCCCTGAAGCTCTGGAATAGTCCCACACTTTGATGTGTGTGTGATCTGTGTGGCTAGTTCTGATTTGGAACTGGATCATCTATTCATGCAGGGTAGTACCACCATCACACTTTCCCTGTACTCCATGCCATCGGAAAAACAAGATGACATTTAGCTATGTCATTTTTCATAGCTCCAGTGCTAGATGCAGAACTCCAGAGAACTACTGGCAATCACTTTGTGCCTTTGCTGATATAAGCGAAGACATCTGTGTGACTTGAAGAGGGGATGGGAGGGAAATCACTTTGGACCAGCCCTGTATTTTGTTGGCCATGGTGTTACCATAGTGAACTTTCCAATATCGCACTTTCATGTTGAAAGAGAAATGTCCCCTTAGGTCCAAATGTCTCAATACTTTGGACAGAGAAGTGACTTATCTGAAAGCTTCTTCTCTCTGCTTCTCTATGCTGCTGACATGGAGTCCCATGGAGCCCATCACATGATGCAGGGCTTTTTCTGGCAGGGTTCAGTGGGGCTCTGTGCCACCTGATTCCTCATAGAAAAAAAGCAATAGGAGCTGAAGAGGAAGCAGGGGACAGCAAAGAATTGTCATGAGCAGAGACGGCATAGGCCCCAATGGTTGGGAACAGTGGCCCATGACTTCCTCCACTGTACGCTGCTTTACAAAAGGCCATCTGATGAGGTTCCTAATAACTGTTTTCATTTGCACCTTTCAGTTGTATTAGTGAAAATGTATTATTTCTATGCAAAGTTCTTCAATAGCATGAATTATTTTTTAACTAAAGATCTTTTAACTATCATAAAAGGTGATGGCTGTTAGGAATTGTGAGAGTTCAAGTCCAAAACACCTGGAGGGCCAACATTTGCCCATGCCTGCACTGTAGTCATGCAAAAATGCACTGGGTGCAACAGTTTGGCTTTATTGATTCTCAATCAACCATCAGATTGGCCCAAAGCAAAAGGAAATGAAAACCAGAAGTGACTAAAAGAAAACTAAAACTAGGATGACTTACTAGTGGTGATGCTGGGAAAATTGGCCCTTTCCTCAGTACTCTTGTGCACCCTGGTTAACATTTTTAATTTAGTTTTCTTTGAAAAGTATGCCATGAAGAATATAATACATGTATTAATCTTTCCATAGGTATTTTTTTGTGGTTGAAGAAGATAACACACCTTTAGCAGTTACTGTAACTCCCTGTGATGCTCCTTTGGAGTGGAAGTTGACTTTACAAGAGCTTCCAGAAGAGTCCAGTGGAGAAAGCTCAGGTAAATAACAAGTGTTGTGACCAATATGAATCTGTTCTGGAACAACTGCTTAAGAGGAGTTCCATCTGTAATGTCTGTTATTTGGAAGAAAGCAGCTATTTTCTGGCAGTAATAGGTCATCAGGGTTTTGGTGCCTTAGAGAAAATATTTGGTTTTTTTTCTTTCTTTGAGGATTTATATGAAGGATTTTGTAATATGGTACAACTCTGAAGACATTTTAAAATAACATAAATACTTACCGGTAATTGATTAAACTTTGAATGTTTCAGACCAACAATTCCAACAATAAAATTTAAAAACATTATTACACAAAGTACTATATTATATTATTTAAAAGATAAATGAAACAGAAGGATCAGAGACCATCCTAAGAAAAGGGAGATAAACATGTCTCTTGAACTGTGTGAACATCTGATAACAAAGTTTAAAAAGTCACTGAACTGAAACAGAGTGTGCAATGTTAGTCAAAGAAAAGAGAAGCTGTGTGTCATAAAAATGGAGTCTGTTAAATGTAGACATTGTAATCCAGTGGTTCTCAACCTTTTTTTTTTACCAGGGATCACTTGATCAGGGACCACTTTGACCAGGGACCACTCTCCAACATTAGTACCAAAAGGGTTACGAATCAGCTTTTGCTAAACTTTAGATTCAGTTTGGTTATTTGGGGTGCTGATTCAGAAAAATGGCATTGGATAAACCACATTAGTTCTAGTTTCTAATACAGAACATATGGCATCCAGTAGTTATCATCTGCTCGCCCACAGAAAGCCATATTTAAAAATCTAGAGCTGATGTGATAGTAGTAATCTTTCATGGGTAGTCAGCCTCTTCCCTCCTGACATTTCCGTTCCCTCTGCACTATAAGAGGGTTTTGTGAGACCAGTCACTCTAGTTCCTACGTGGTTTTGAGGCAACAGTGTAATAATGGTGAGACTGTGGACCATATTTTTGTTCTTGCAGACCACTGGTGGTCCACGGACCAAAAGTTGGGAACCACTATTATAATCAAATGATAAAACATGTTTTGAGAACTATTCTGGAGAAGAATTGCAAGGTTTTTCATTTTAAAAATCAGTGATATAATAACATGGTTCAGAAAACCTCCATCATGAACATCTGATGTCCCACAGTCTCTAGACATATTTATTTCCCCAGTTAACAGTGTAAGAGTGTCTGGATAGTAGGAGATAAAAGTAGGAGGCAGGGGGATAGAGGAAGGTAAGATAGATAAACAGAAGGAATATGCTCCTTCCATACTTGTTAGGATGTAAGTTATTAGAATTTATTTCTTTTGAGATCCTGCAAGCCTTTTAAAAATAATCTCTTTTTGTATTCTCTAGGCGAGCCAGAGCCACTTGAACATCAGAAACAACAAATTGTCAATGAAGAAGGCACAGAGCTGTTCTCATATAGAGGAAATGATGTTGAGTATTTTGTGTCCTCTAGTTCACCTTCTGGCCTCTATCAGTTAGAGCTCCTGTCAACAGAGAAAGATACAAATTTTAAAGTTTATGCCACTACAACTCCAGAGTCAGATCAACCATATCCTGAATTACCTTATGATCCAAGAGTTGATGTTACTTCTCTTGGCCGTACCACTGTCACTTTGGCGTGGAAACCAAGCCCTACAGCTTCCTTGCTGAAACAGCCAATCCAGTATTGTGTGGTCATTAATAAAGAGCACAATTTCAAAAGCCTCTGTGCAGTGGAAGCCAAACAAAGTACTGATGATACATTTATGAGGGCCCCAAAACCTGGCCTGGACTTTAGTCCCTTTGATTTTGCCCATTTTGGATTTCCTTCCAATGGTAACTCTGGGAAAGAGCGCAGCTTCTTAAAATCATCACCAAAGTTTGGAAGACAGATTTATTCAAAGCCACGAGTTGACATAGAAAAGAGATGCATTGGAAACAAGAATATCTTTACAGTGTCTGAACTGAAACCTGACACACAGTACTACTTTGACATATTTGCTGTAAATACTAACTCAAATATGAGTACTGCATATGTTGGCACTTTTGCAAGAACCAAAGAGGAGGCCAAGCAGAAGACGGTTGATCTAAAAGATGGGAAAGTTACAGATGTGTTTGTCAAGAGGAAAGGCTCTAAATTTTTACGTTTTGCTCCTGTTTCATCACACCAGAAGGTTACATTTTTTGTTCATTCATGCCTTGATGCTGTACAGATCCAAGTCAGAAGAGATGGGAAACTTCTCTTGTCTCAAAACGTTGAAGGCATCCGTCAGTTTCAACTTAGGGGAAAGCCAAAAGCTAAATACCTAATCCGACTGAAAGGAAATAAAAGAGGAGCTTCCATGTTGAAGATTTTGGCCACCACAAGGCCAAATAAGCAGTCATTTCCATCTCTTCCTGAAGACACAAGAATTAAAGCCTTTGATAAACTTCGCACATGTTCGTCAGTCACAGTGGCATGGCTAGGTACACAGGAGAGAAACAAATTTTGCATCTACAGAAAGGAAGTAGATGATGACTATAATGAGGAGCAGAAGAAAAGAGAACAAAATCAGTGCCTGGGACCAGATGTGAGGAAGAAATCAGAAAAAGTCCTTTGTAAATATTTTCATAGCCAGAATCTACAAAAAGCAGTTACAACAGAGACAGTTAAAGGCCTACAGCCTGGCAAATCCTACCTTCTGGATGTTTATGTGATTGGACATGGCGGACACTCTGTCAAGTATCAAAGCAAATTGGTGAAAACAAGGAAATTCTGTTAGTACACTCCCATAGAGGAGTTGTGAACTGTATTGGTACTATGTAGAGAAGATATTAACAATAACAATTATATATTTATGTTTACAAAAGCAAGTGAAGGGACTGAAACTGTATTCTCAGTTGGTATCTGGCAGTCGGCATTGTCATGTGTCTGGTCATCCATGTTTGATGCTCACTAGATAACCCATGCGGGAGGGAATTTTGACTACCCTTCTTTTGCTTCCATGATGTTGCATGAAGTGCTTCTAAATTATTTTGTTACTTCAGAGGCTAAAATATGCCATTCAATTACCTTGTTATCCTTGTGCACAGACACACAAACCTCCCACACAACCTCTATCTCTACGTAGACTATAGAGTTATGTAAATTATTTTATAAAGTCTTGTTTTAAATGTCTATGTTTCCATGATTGTAAACTATAAGAAATCTTTCTCTGTTAAACACAGTTCTGAATTAAGTATTAATTGGACTACCCCAAAGTCAATTTTATTGTAATGTAAATTCCCATCTCTCTAATTTTTAAATGTTTAAAATCTTGTATGTATTTCATGTACAAAATTGTCAGACGTTATATTCCTGTACATAAATTAAAATATTAGATTATATGTTTCCTTCATATTAATATTTTCATTTATATAGTTGATTCTTGACACATTAGGGAATCCCAGTTAGCAAATGTTTTATATCTGAAGATCACTACAGCTGCCAGCAGCTTTGGCTGTTAATGAAACTCAGAATCATTGAACTATTTGAATGCAGTGTGAAATAATAATAACTATTTATATTCTGCTCTATCTCCCTGAGGGGACTCAGCAGATTACAACATACACAGATAGGCAAACATTCAGTGCCTTTAATACAGTAGAATAACAGTGACATACAAATACACAGAACAAAGGTAAAGGCTTCCCCTTTCATCTCCGGCTTCCTGGAGATGGTGCTCAACTCTGGCTTTTGTTCCATTGCTCTTGTTCCATTTCCAAGCCGAGGAGCCTGTTGTCCGTGACACCTCCTGATCCTGTTGTCGGCATGCCTGCATGGGCACATTAATTACCTTACTGCTGAAGCGGTACCTATTGTAGTAAAGGTACATTAAGTCTAGTCGTGTCCGACTCTGGGGAGTGGTGCTCATCCCCATTTCTAAGATCATGTGGCCAGCATGACTGCTTGGAGCACTGTTACCTTCCTGCAGAAGTGGTACCTAATGATCTACTCACATTTGCATGTTTTCAAACTGGGTTGGCAGAAGCTGGGGCTAACAGTGGGAGCTCTCCCTGCTTCCCAGATTCGAACTGCCAACCTTTCGTTCAGCAAGTTCAGCAGCTCAGCAGTTTAACCCACTGTGCCACCAGGGCCCCCTAGTACCTATTGATCTACTCACATTTGCATGTTTTCAAACTGCTAGGTTGGCAGGAGCTAGGGCTAACAGCGGGAGCTCACCTTGACCTATGGCTTCGAACTGTCAACCTTTAGGTCAGCAGGTTCAACAGTTCAACAGTTTAACTCATTGCACCACCAAGGACCCTAGTATATGATTTGAGGATCATCTAAAAAAGTGTATAACCTAGTAATACTTCTCCTTTAATGCATCATAATAGCATGGCTGTATACACTTGGCAAAAAGCAGTGCATTATCAAGCTCACATACTTTCCATTGTTTCCAATAGGAACAGTATCCTTGAAAATAAATTTAAATTCTGGCTCCTAATTTCAATTTTAAAGAACTGTTTGGAGAGGCAAAACAGGAAGGCAAGCATGCATCTTTTTTTTTTAAAGACATGTTAATTTGCTATACTTTCACAGAAATAAGTCTGATTAAAATTTCAGTCTTCCGGAATAAAATTTCCTTTATTTTTATGAGAACCAGTTCTAGCAGTTGTTTTTAATATAGGTAGTTTAGAACTAATTAAGGGTGCAATCTTAAATTACATATAAAGGCAAATTCCAGTGATTGAGAGAAACTATACTTCTGTGTATTTTGTTTAGTATTTGGATATGCAGCATGCTTTGCCTTAATTCGGATTTAAGGAACACAAGTGATTTCTGCCTAACAAGTATGTTTTTGAACTCTGATATGGAATAATATCTAGTAATCAAATATTTAATTGAAAAAATACCACACATCTTGGGGCTGTGGTCCTTAACGCTTCCATTTCAGTGAGCTGTATATGTTTTCTAGAGGCATTGTGCTCACATTTCACAATACATCTGGGCCTGATGAACCCATGTTAAGCACTTCGGTGTTCCATGATTTCAGTGGGAGAATTAAACTAATCCTTATATAGTTCCCCTTGATTTAAAAGTTTGCTTTTAATAAAGTACACTCTTTATTATCAACATCTCATATGGATTGTAGCCTGGCTCCAACAAATCCTAGGATAAGCACAAGGCATTTACATTCATGCAAGCAGGAGACACTCTTGGGTAAAGACCACTCACATAAGGGAGATGTGTGGAATTCCCCTTTAGCTACATCTCTCTACTAAACCAGTTGGTGAGTACAGAGGACCAAAGTCAGAAGCACAACATGTAGTTTTTGTTTGTGTACACAGAACTATGGATTTGGTTCAAATAAAACTGAGATATGCTATGCAAATATTTTCCCAAAGACATCAGATTGGCCACCTCCCTCCTGTCTTTTAGAAGGAAACTCAAGACTTGGCTGTGGGACCTTGCATTTGAACATTGAATAGCAGCTTGTATGAAGAAGACAAGCAATTTCAAAGTGAGAATGAATTGAATGGTGTTTTCTGTGAAGCCGCCCTGAGTCCCCCCTCGAGGGTGAGAAGGGCGGGGTACCAGTATATGAAATAAAAAAATACAAACATACATTTACACATAGATCTGTGAGTTAAGTGGGATAGATCTTGGAATATGGAAACTTAGAACTCTTTCCATGTAAATTACCACTTGTGTTTGTTCTATGCTTTCATGTCATTTTTGATTAGGCAAAGTTGTCACAAGGGTTTCTCTACATGGTTTGTTGATAGAGGATTGGATTTGCCTTTGTGTGAGGCTGAGTAAGTGACTTGCCCAGTATCGGACTTTCATGGCTGAGTGTGGATTCAGACCTGATCTCCCAGGCCCCTTCTACACTACCATATAAAATCCAGATTATCTACTTTGAACTGGATTATATGGCAATACAGAGTCTTATAATCCAGTTTAAAACAGATAATCTGGATTATCTGCTTTAATGATATAATCAGGATTATATAATAGTGTAGAAGGGCCCCCCAGAGTCCTAGTCTAAAACTCATTATGTTGTGGCTTAATTACCACTAAGGGAGCTTCCAGACAGCCCTTTCACCCAGGAACATTTGTGTTTTAAAAATGCAAATGTTCCCAGGTCCTCATCCACCTCAACCCCAGAAAGTGCATGCTGTCTGGGGTGTGTGTCCAGATGTGCTCCTGGAACTTTCTGGGAGAGCACTCTAACCCCCTCCCCCAAACCATCCCCCAACCCCCCCTTAAAAGTAAAAGAACTTACCCAGCCACCATTAGAGTAGTGCTGGAGCTCTCCTGGTGTGTAAAAATCACACCCCAGAGAAAGGGGTGGAAGAGGAAAATCACTCCTGCTCCCACCCCCATTCTCCTAGTGTGTCTTTTTTTTTGGGGGGGGGAGGGTTGGGGGGTTGGTGTCCTTGTGGTTCTCTGGGCTAAATTATCCTGTAATATAGTGGGACTACTGTCTGGACTACCCCCTTAAAAGCCCAGAACTTTCGAGGGAGCAGTCCAGGCAGCAGAAGCAGTGGGTTTATCCAGGGCCTTTTAAGAAGGTGCAGATTAAACACACTAACAAATTAATTCACCACAAACCAGATCTGGACATCCCCCCTTTTATTGCAGGAACTCCCACGTTAAAGGGGCTGTCTGGATAGGCTCTAAATTAATAAAATAGCAGTTACGGAAGAAAAAGTAGGTATGGAATCATGGCATGAAGAAAGATCTCAAATAAAATTAAGTACAGTCCAATTTGCAAAAAAACTAAACTTTAGAGAACATGTATTTTCCTCTGATATGCTCTGTTATGGAACTTAAGAAATTGGGAGCACATTTCTTTCATTGTCATTGAAGTCTGTTATCACAATAGACCCAGTTTAAAAGGGCAGTATGAACATTTATTGAGGGCTATTGTGCATTAGTTTCAGCTATCAACATCTGCAGTTCAGCCTAGTTATAATAAAGGGTTTTTTTTCCTCCATAGTTACTGGCAGTTCTACTCAATTTGAACTTCAGAAGTTATTACTTGTTGGGAAGGAGGAATCTCTTGGTTTCAGAACCACCCTCAATGCCAAAGTAGCAAACTTTTCATTTTATCACATCACTTAACATTATCTCTGGCTGCTGTGGTTATCATGTGTGACATCTGGTGTAAATACAGAATCATGTAAATGGAATTTCAGTCCCTTGAAGTCAATGGCAAAATTCCCATAAGTTTTCAAAGAGCCAAGGTTTTATCCATGGACTTCATCTTTGGGAATGACTTCAATATCTGAACAGGCTCCAGTTTGGGAATGACTTCAATGTCTCACCATGCACATTGCAGTCAGGATGTGACATACTGATTTTATAAAATGTATAATAATCACTATGACACTTTTCAAAATGAAAACAACAAAAATATGACTCTGGGATTTATTAGTTTGTCAAGCAATCTTGCCTATGGAAGGTTCAAGAGTTCTACAACTCTTGAAAAAATATGGCTTTATATGGCAAATTGAGTTGCATTTTAAGTCCTTCCTTAATTTCTGAACGATATAATTAAGATAACTACACTTCTGAAACTAGTGACACATAAGGCAGCAATGTGGTCACAGTATCAGACTTATTTTTTTTTTCCGTTTTGCAATACAATGGCATCGTAATTTCACAATTACAACAGGAGCAGGTATTAGTAAGGCAATGTGAAGCTTAAACAAATGATGCAAATTTATGTTCATTCATTATAGAAACTTACAGTAATGTGGCTTTCCAGCCCATGTAAGTGTTGGGGTTCTGGAGCACTCCAATCAGGCACATTTTCTCATGTTCCCTGTTCCACATTTTCTATTGTATAAGGGCTACAGGCATAATTATTGTGTAGCTTCGTTGGAGGTCCATAAATTGGCCAAAATTTGCAATTGTTACACTTTTTTGTTTTTAACTTATTTTATCAACACATATCAACACAGGCGAAAGAGAGTGGTGGGAGGGGTTTCACTCTTGTTGGGAAGCACTGTTAAGACTGTCTGTTATGACTGTCTGGAGGAGAAGACTGCCTGGACTACATTAGATAAAGGTAAAGGTTTTCCCCTGACATTAAGTCCAGTCGTGTCCAATTCTGTGGGGTGGTGCACATCTCCATTTCTAAGCCGAAGAGCCGGTGTTGTCCGTAGACAACTCCAAGGTCATGTGGCCAGCATGACTGCATGGAGCACCATTACCTTTCTGCCGGAGCTATACCCATTGATCTATTCACATTTGCATGTCTTTGAACTGCTAGGTTGGCAGGAGCTGGGGCTAACAGGGAGAGCTCATGCCGCTTCCCTGATTTGAACCTGCGACCTTTTGATCAACAAGTTCAGCAGTTCAACGCTTTAACCCACTGGACCATCGTGGGCTC